GTCACAATTTCATCAAAAATCTGACTTTTGGCAACTCACTCAAAAATGGTGACAAACGGTAGCAAATGCTCCCCTGAAATCTTTGGCTGTGGAAACAGAAGGCTTTCTGTCACAGGACAGGAAATCAGCCCTCGACAACTTCAACGGCAGAGAAAGATTTTTTTGAAAAAATCCATAAGGCCCGGGGTCACAATTTCATAAAAAAAATTACTTTCGGCAATTCACTCAAAAATGGTGCCAAATGGTTGCAAATGCTCCCCTGAAAGGTTTGGTGGTCGAAACAGAAGGCTTTCTATCACAGGACAGGAAATCAGCCCTCTACAACTTCAACGGCAGAGAAAGATTTTTTTGAAAAAATCCATAAGCCCCGGGGTCACAATTTCATAAAAATCTGACTTTCGGCAATTCACTCAAAAATGGTGCCAAACAGTAGCAAATGCTCCCTGAGAGGCTTGGCGGTCGAAACAGAAGGCTTTCTATCACAGGAAAAAAAATCAGCCCTCGACAACTTAACCAGCAGAAAAAGATTTCTTTGAAAAAATCCCTAGAGGTCAAAATTTCATCAAAAAACTGACGTTCTCCAATTCACTCAAAAATGGTACCAACGGTTGGAAATGCTCCCCTGAAAGTTTTGGCGGTCGAAACAGAAGGCTTTCTATCACAGAAAAAGAAATCAGCCCTCGACAACTTAACCGGCAGAAAAAGATTTCTTTGAAAAAATCCCTAAGCCCCGGGGTCACAATTTCATCAAAAATCTGACTTTTGGCAATTCACTCAAAAATGGTGCCAAACGGTTGCAAATGCTCCCCTGAAAGGTTTGGCGGTCGAAACAGAAGGCTTTCTATCACAGGAAAACAAATCAGCCCTCGACAACTTAACCGGCAGAAAAGATTTTTTGAAAATCCCTAAGCCCGGGTCAATTTCAGAAAAATCTGACTTTTGGCAGCTCACTCAAAAATGGTGCGAAACGGTAGCAAATGCTCCCCTGACAGGTTTGGCGGTCGAAACAGAAGGCTTTCTATCACAGGACAAGAAATCAGCCCTCGACAACTTAACTGGCAGAAAAGATTTTTTGAAAAAATCCCTAAGCCTCGGGGTCACAATTTCATCAAAAATCTGACTTTCTGGCAATTCACTGAAAAATGGTGCCAAACGGTTGCAAAAGCTCTCCTGAAAGGTTTGGCGGTCGAAACAGAAGGCTATTTATCACAGGACAAGAAATCAGCCCCCGACAACTTAACCGGCAGAAAAGATTTCTTTGAAAAAATCCCTAAGCCCGGGGTCACAATTTCATCAAAAATCTGACTTTTGGCAATTCACTCAAAAATGGTGCCAAACGGTTGCAAATGCTCCCCTGAAAGGTTTGGCGGTCGAAACAGAAGGCTTTATATCACAGGAAAAGAAATCAGCCCTCGACAACTTAACCGGCAGAAAAAGATTTTTTGAAAAAATCCCTAAGCCCCGGGTCACAATTTCATTAAAAATCTGACTTTCGCCAATTCACTCAAAAATGGTGCCAAACGGTTGCAAATGCTCCCCTGAGAGGTTTGGCGATCGAAACAGAAGGCTTTTTATCACAGGACAAGAAATCAGCCCTCGACAACTTAACCGGCAGAAATAGATTTTTTTGAAAAAATCCCTAAGCCCCGGGGTCACAATTTCATAAAAAATCTGACTTTCGGCAATTCACTCAAAAATGGTGCCAAACGGTTGCAAATGCTCCCCTGAAAGGTTTGGCGGTTGAAACAGAAGGGTTTTTGTCGCAGGAAAAGAAAATCAGCCCTCGACAACTTAACCAGCAGAAAAGATTTGTTTGAAAAAATCCCTAAGCCCCGGGTCACAATTTCATCAAAATCTGACTTTGGCAGTTCACTCAAAAATGATGCCAAACGATTGCAAATGCTCCCCTGAAAGGTTTGGCGGTCGAAACAGAAGGCTTTTTATCACAGGACAAGAAATCAACCCTCGACAACTAACCGGCAGAAAAGATTTTTTTGAAAAATCCCTAAGCCCCGGGGTCACAATTTCATCAAAAATCTGACTTTTGGCAGCTCACTCAAAAATGGTGCCAAACGGTTGCAAATGCTCCCCTGAAAGGTTTGGCGGTCGAAACAGAAGGCTTTTTTATCACGGGACAAGAAATCAGCCCTCAACAACTTAACCGGCAGAAAAGATTTTTTGAAAAAATCCCTAAGCCCGGGGTCACAATTTCATGAAAAAATCTGACTTTCGGCAATTCACTCAAAAATGGTGCCAAACGGTAGCAAATGCTCCCCTGAGAGGCTTGGCGGTCGAAACAGAAGGCTTTCTATCACAGGAAAAAAAATCAGCCCTCGACAACTTAACCAGCAGAAAAAGATTTCTTTGAATCCCTAAGCCGCGGGGTCACAATTTCATCAAAAATCTGACGTTCGGCAATTGAGTCAAAAATGGTGCCAAACGGTTGCAAATGCTCCCCTGAAAGGTTTGGCGGTCGAAACAGAAGTCTTTCTAACACAGGAAAAGAAATCACCCCTCCACAACTAAAACGGCAGAAAAGATTTTTTTGAAAAAATCCCTAAGCCCCGGGGTCACAATTTCATCAAAAATCTGACTTTTGGCAATTCACTCAGAAATGGTGCCAAACGGTTGCAAATGCTCCCCTGAAAGGTTTGGCGGTCGAAACAGAAGGCTATTTATCACAGAACAAGAAATCAGCCCTCAACAACTTAACCGGCAGAAAAGATTTCTTTGAAAAAATCTGACTTTTGGCAACTCACTCAAAAATGGTGCCAAACGGTAGCAAATGCTCCCCTGAAAGTTTTGGCGGTCGAAACAGAAGGCTTTCTATCACAGGACAGGAAATCAGCCCTCGACAACTTTACTGGCAGAAAAAGATTTTTTTGAAAAAATCCCTAAGCCTCGGGGTAACAATTTCATCAAAAATCTGACGTTCTCCAATTCACTCAAAAATGGTGCCAAACGGTAGCAAATGCTCCCCTGGAAGGTTCGGCGGTCGAAACAGAAGCCTTTTTATCACAGGTCATGAAATCAGCCCACGACAACTTAACCGGCAGAAAAAGATTTTTTTGAAAAAATCTCTAAGCCCCGGTGTCACAATTTCATGAAAAATCTGACGTTCTCCAATTCACTCAAAAATGGTGCGAAACGGTAGCAAATGCTCCCCTGAAAGTTTTGGCGGTCGAAACAGAAGGCTTTCTATCACAGGACAGGAAATCAGCCCTCGACAACTTCAACGGCAGAGAAAGATTTTTTTGAAAAAAACCATAAGCCCCGGGGTCACAATTTCATAAAAAAATTTACTTTCGGCAATTCACTCAAAAATGGTGCCAAACGGTTGCAAATGCTCCCCTGAAAGGTTCGGCGGTCGAAACAGAAGCCTTTTTATCACAGGTCATGAAATCAGCCCACAACAACTTAACCAGCAGAAAAAGATTTGTTTTTCAAAATCCCTAAGCCTCGGGGTAACAATTTCATCAAAAACCTGACGTTTTCCAATTCACTCAAAAATGGTACCAAACGGTTGCAAATGCTCCCCTGAAAGTTTTGGCCGTCGAAACAGAAGGCTTTCTATCACAGGGAAAAAAATCAGCCCTCGACAACTTAACCGGCAGAAAAAGATTTTTCTTAAAAAATCCCTAAGCCTCGCCCGGGGTCACAATTTCATCAAAAATCTGACGTTCTCCAATCACTCAAAAATGGTGCGAAACAGTAGCAAATGCTCACCTGAGAGGTTTGGCGGTCGAAACAGAAGGCTTTCTATCACAGAAAAAGAAATCAGCCCTCAACAACTTAACCGGGAGAAAAATATTTCTTTGAAAAAATCCCTAAGGGTCACAATTTCATCAAAAATCTGACGTTCTCCAATTCACTCAAAAATGGTACGAAACAGTAGCAAATGCTCCCCTGAAAGTTTTGGCCGTCGAAACAGAAGGCTTTCTATCACAGGAAAAAAAATCAGCCCTCGACAACTTAACCGGCAGAAAAAGATTGGAACAAGTTCAGACCGCTTTGAACCGGTTTAGGCCAGTTTGAACTCGTCCAAGCCAGTTGGATCCGGTTCAGACCGGTTTGAACCGGTTTAGGCCAGTTTGAAACGGTCCAAGCCGGTTGGAAACGGTCCAAGCCGGTTGGAACCGGTTTAGGCTAGTTTGAAGCGGTTTAGGACAGTTTGAATCGGTCGTAGCTGGTTGAAACCGGTTCAGACCGGTTTTAACCGGTTTAGGCCAGTTTGAACCGGTCCAAGCCGGTTTGAACCAGTCCAGTCCTGTTTGAACCGGTTAAGGCCACTTTGAACCGCTTTAAGCCAGTTCGAACCGGTCCAAGCCGGTTTGAACTGGTCCAACCGGTTGGATTCGGTTCAGAGCAGTTTGAACCGGTTTAGGCCAGTTTGAACCGGTTCTAAGCCAGTTTGAACCAGTCCAAGCCGGTTTTAACCGGTCCAAGCCGGTTGGAACCGGTCAGACCGGTTTGACCCGGTTTAGGCTAGTTTGAAGCGGTTTAGGACAGTTTGAATTGGTCCATCAAACTGTCCTAAACTGGTCCAAGTTTGAACTGGTCCAAGCCGGTTGGATCCGCTTCAGACTGGTTTGAACCGGTTTGAATTGGTCCAAGCCGGTTGGAACCGGGCCAAGCCGGTTGGAACCGGTTTAGGCTAGCTTGAAGCAGTTTTGGACAGTTTGAATCGGTTCTAGCTGGTTGAAACCAGTTCAGACAGGTTTGAACCGGTCCAAGCCGGTTGGTTTGAACCGGTTTAGGCTAGTTGAAGCCGTTTAAGGCAGTTTGAACCGGTCCAAACCGGTTTGAACTGGTCCAACCGGTTGGATCCAGTTCAGAGCAGTTTGAACTGGTTTAGGCCAGTTTGAACCACTCAAAGACGGTTGGAACCAGTTCAGACCGGTTTGAACCGGTTAAGGCCACTTTGAACCAATTTAAGCCAGTTTGAACTGGTCTAAGCCGGTTGGATCCGGTTCAGACCGGTTTGAACCGGTTTAGGCTAGTTTGAACCGGTTTAGGCCAGTTTGAACCGGTCTAAACCGGTTGGAACCGGTTCAAACCGGTTTGAACCGGTTTAGGCCAGTTTGAACCGGTCTAAGCCGGTTGGATCCGGTTCAGACCGGTTTGAACCGGTTTAGGCCAGTTTGAACAAGTCCAAGCCAGTTGGAACTGGTCTAAACCAGTTGGAACCGGTTCAAACCGGTTTGAACCGGTTTAGGCCAGTTTGAACCAGTCAAAGCCGGTTGGAACCGGTCCAGACCGGTTTGAACCGGTTTAGGCTAGTTTGAAGCGGTTTTAAGCCAGTTGGAACCAGTCCAAGCCGGTTTTAACCGGTCCAAGCCGGTTGGAACCGGTCAGACTGGATTGAACCGGTTTAGGCTAATTTGAAGCGGTTAAGGACAGTTTGAATCGGTCCTAGCTGGTTGAAACCAGTTCAGACCGGTTTGAACCAGTTAAGGCCACTTTGAACTGTTTTAAGCCAGTTTGAACCTGTCCAAGCCGGTTTGAACTGGTCCAACCAGTTGGATCCGGTTCAGAGCAGTTTGAACCGGTTTAGGCCAGTTGGAAGCACTCAAAGACGGTTGGAACCAGTTCAGACCGGTTTGAACCGGTTAAGGCCACTTTGAACCGGTTTAAGCCAGTTTGAACTGGTCCAAGCCGGTTGGAACCGGTTCAGACCGGTTGGAACCGGTTTAGACTAGTTTGAACCGGTACAAGCTGGTTGGATCCGGTTCAGACCGGTTTGAACTGGTTTAGGCCAGCTTGAACCACTCAAAGCCGGTTTGAACCAGTTCAGACCGGTTTGAACCAGTTAAGGCCACTTTGAACCGGTTTAAGCCAGTTTGAACCGGTCCAAGCCGGTTTGAACGGTCAAGCCAGTTGGAACCGGTTCAGACCGGTTTGAACCGGTTTAGGCTAATTTGAAGCGGTTTAGGCCAGTTTTAACCACTCAAAGACTGGTTGGAACCAGTTAAGGCCACTTTGAACCGGTTTAAGCCAGTTTGAACCAGTCCAAGCCGGTTGGATCAGATTCAGACCGGTTAGAACCGGTTAAGGCCACTTTGAACCGGTTTAAGCCAGTTTGAACCGGTCCAAGCCGGTTTGAACCGGTCCAAGCCAGTTGGAACCGGTTCAGACCGGTTTGAACCGGTTTAGGCTAATTTGAAGCGGTTTAGGCCAGTTTTAACCACTCAAAGACTGGTTGGAACCAGTTAAGGCCACTTTGAACCGGTTTAAGCCAGTTTGAACCAGTCCAAGCCGGTTGGATCAGATTCAGACCGGTTTGAACCGGTTTAGGCCAATTTGAACCGGTCCAAGCCGGTTGGAACCGGTTCAGACTGGTTGGAACCGGTTTAGGCTAGTTTGAAGCGGTTTAGGACAGTTTGAATAGGTCCTAACTGGTTGAAACCAGTTCAGACCGGTTTAAACCAGTTTAGCCCAGTTTAAACCAGTCCAAGCCAGTTTAAACAGGTTCAAACCGGTTTGAACTGGTTTAGGCCAGTTTAAAGCACTCAAAGCCGGTTAGAACCTGTTCAGACCAGTTTGAACCGGTTAAGGCCACTTTGAATCAGTTTAAGCCAGTTTGAACCGGTTCAAGGCGGTTTGAAGTGGTCCAACCATTTGGATCCAGTTGAGAGCAGTTTGAACCGGTTTAGGCCAGTTTGAACCACTCAAAGACGATTGGAACCAGTTCAGACCAGTTTGAACCGGTTTAGGCCACTTTGAACTGGTTTTAAGGCAGTTTGAACCAGTGCAAGCACCATTTTTGAGTGAATTCGAGAACGTCAGATTTTATTATGAAATTGTGACCCCTGGGCTTAGGGATTTTTTTTTTAAAAAAAGTTTTCCCACAAGTTCAGTCATCGAGGACTAATTATTTTTCATGATAAAAACACTTCTGTTTCCACGGAAAAACTTCTCAGGGGAGCATGTGCAACAGCTGGGCACCATTTTTGAATGAATTGGAGAACGTCAGATTTTTGCTGAAATTGTGACCGCGCGGGATTTTTTCAAAAAAAAGTTTTGCTGCTAGTTCAGTCATCGAGGGCTAATTCTATTTCCGATTATAAAAACCCTTCTGTTTCCACCGAAAAAGCAGCTTGAACCAGTGCAAACTAGTCTGGACCGGTTCAAAATGGCCTAAACCAGTTCAAACCGGCTTTGACCACTTCCAACAATCTGGACCGGTTCCAACAGGTCTGCACCCGTTCCAACCAGCTTGGACCAGTTCAAACTGGCCTAAACCGGTTCAAACCAGTCTGAACAGGTTAAAATTGGCTTTGACGGGTTCAAACTGGCCTAAACTGTTTCAAACTGGCCTAAACCGCTTCAAACAGGTCTGAACCGGTTCCAACCAGCTTACGCGCGGTCACAATTTCAGCAAATATCTAACGTTCTGCAATTCACTCCAAAATGGGGCCCAGCTGTTGCAAATGCTCCCCTGAGAGTTTTTGCGGTGGAAACAGAACGGTTTTTATCTTCGGAAAAAGAATTAGCCCTCGACGACTGAACTAGTGGCAAAACTTGTTTTTGAAAAAATCCCTAATCCCCGGGGTCAAAATTTCAGCAAAAATCTGACGTTGTGCAATTCACTCAAAAATGGTGCCAAACTGTTGCACATGCTCCCCTGAGAGGTTTTTCGGAGGAAACAGAAGTCTTTTTACCATCGGAAAAGAATTAGCTTTCAATGACTGAACTTGCGAAAAGATTTTTTTGAAAAAATCCCTAAGCCTCGGGGTAACAATTTCATCAAAAATCTGACGTTCTCCAATTCACTCAAAAATGGTACGAAACGGTTGCAAATGCTCTCCTGAAAGTTTTGGCGGTCGAAACAGAAGGCTTTCTATCACAGGAAAAAAAATCAGCCCTCGACAACTTAACCGGCAGAAAAAGATTTCTTTGAAAAAATCCCTAAGCCCCGGGGTCACAATTTCATCAAAAATCTGACTTTTGGCAACTCACTCAAAAATGGTGACAAACGGTAGCAAATGCTCCCCTGAAATCTTTGGCTGTGGAAACAGAAGGCTTTCTGTCACAGGACAGGAAATCAGCCCTCGACAACTTCAACGGCAGAGAAAGATTTTTTTGAAAAAATCCATAAGGCCCGGGGTCACAATTTCATAAAAAAAATTACTTTCGGCAATTCACTCAAAAATGGTGCCAAACGGTTGCAAATGCTCCCCTGAAAGTTTTGGCCGTTGAAACAGAAGGCTTTCTATCACAGAAAAAAAAAAATCAGCCCTCGACAACTTAACCAGCAGAAAAAGATTTGCTTGAAAAAATCCCTAGATTTGATTTCATCAAAAACCTGACGTTCACTCAAAAATGGTGCCAAACGGTAGCAAATGCTCCCCTGAAAGGTTTGGCGGTCGAAACAGAAGGCTTTTTATCACAGGTGAAGAAATCAGCCCTCGACAACTTAACCGGCAGAAAAAGATTTTTTTGAAAAAATCCCTAAGCCCCGGGGTCACAATTTCATCAAAAATCTGACTTTTGGCAACTCACTCAAAAATGGTGCCAAACGGTAGCAAATGCTCCCCTCAAAGGTTTGGCCGTGGAAAGAGAAGGCTTTATATCACAGGAAAAGAAATCAGCCCTCGACAACTTAACCGGCAGAAAAAGATTTTTTTGAAAAAATCCCTAAGCCCCGGGATCACAATTTCATTAAAAAAATTACTTTCGGCAATTCACTCAAAAATGGTGCCAAATGGTTGCAAATGCTCCCCTGAAAGGTTTGGTGGTCGAAACAGAAGGCTTTCTATCACAGGACAGGAAATCAGCCCTCTACAACTTCAACGGCAGAGAAAGATTTTTTTGAAAAAATCCATAAGCCCCGGGGTCACAATTTCATAAAAAAAATTACTTTCGGCAATTCACTCAAAAATGGTGCGAAACAGTAGCAAATGCTCCCCTGAGAGGCTTGGCGGTCGAAACAGAAGGCTTTCTATCACAGGAAAAAAAATCAGCCCTCGACAACTTAACCAGCAGAAAAAGATTTCTTTGAAAAAATCCCTAGAGGTCAAAATTTCATCAAAAAACTGACGTTCTCCAATTCACTCAAAAATGGTACCAACGGTTGGAAATGCTCCCCTGAAAGTTTTGGCGGTCGAAACAGAAGGCTTTCTATCACAGAAAAAGAAATCAGCCCTCGACAACTTAACCGGCAGAAAAAGATTTCTTTGAAAAAATCCCTAAGCCCCGGGGTCACAATTTCATCAAAAATCTGACTTTTGGCAATTCACTCAAAAATGGTGCCAAACGGTAGCAAATGCTCCCCTGAAAGGTTTGGCGGTCGAAACAGAAGGCTTTCTATCACAGAAAAACAAATCAGCCCTCAACAACTTAACCGGCAGAAAAAGATTTCTTTGAAAAAATCTGACTTTTGGCAACTCACTCAAAAATGGTGCCAAACGGTAGCAAATGCTCCCCTGAAAGTTTTGGCGGTCGAAACAGAAGGCTTTCTATCACAGGACAGGAAATCAGCCCTCGACAACTTAACTGGCAGAAAAGATTTTTTTGAAAAAATCCCTAAGCCTCGGGGTAACAATTTCATCAAAAATCTGACGTTCTCCAATTCACTCAAAAATGGTGCCAAACGGTAGCAAATGCTCCCCTGGAAGGTTTGGCGGTCGAAACAAAAGGCTTTTTATCACAGGTGAAGAAATCAGCCCTCGACAACTTAACCGGCAGAAAAAGATTTTTTTGAAAAAATCTCTAAGCCCCGGTGTCACAATTTCATGAAAAATCTGACGTTCTCCAATTCACTCAAAAATGGTACGAAACGGTTGCAAATGCTCCCCTGAAAGTTTTGGCGGTCGAAACAGAAGGCTTTCTATCACAGGACAGGAAATCAGCCCTCGACAACTTCAACGGCAGAGAAAGATTTTTTTGAAAAAAACCATAAGCCCCGGGGTCACAATTTCATAAAAAAATTTACTTTCGGCAATTCACTCAAAAATGGTGCCAAACGGTTGCAAATGCTCCCCTGAAAGGTTCGGCGGTCGAAACAGAAGCCTTTTTATCACAGGTCATGAAATCAGCCCACAACAACTTAACCAGCAGAAAAAGATTTGTTTTTCAAAATCCCTAAGCCTCGGGGTAACAATTTC